AATTAGCCGGGTCAACCGATCTAACCGAAGCAATACGGTTAACCCGATTGTATCCGGGTAAGCCAACTCGGTTAACCAATTAGGAATTTTTTACCTGGTTCAAATCATTAGTATAACCTTGCTGTATTTTGTCCATTTTAAGCATATCTCAAGTTGCTTGCCAACTTTAACTCTATATAAGGAAATTTTATTCAATCTAGTAGTAGTATAGATGCCAGAGATGTTTTAAATCTGGTAAAACCAATTCTTTATCACAGATCTCTTTGTGTTTACTACATTTCTCACCATTTTCAATTCTAGTTACCATCTAGTCATTCTTCCAAACAAGATTCCCAATGCTGCCTTAGGGGTTGTTGGTGCTATCTTGCCAATCACAAATTTATATGCACAATCTTTGTGTAATAGAACCTTTAGTAATGTCTCTTGTTATACATAGTGCCAACTACTTCACAATAGACCTTTTTCCGGAAATTCCTAATTCAGACCTGTATTCACTTGAACTTTCCACAGAGATATTTCCAAATATTTATAGGTAAACATACCTACTAGGACTTGAACCTGAAACCCACTTGTGGAAGGTTGGGTATCTAGACTACTAGGCTACGAGATATAAATTTATATTATAAATAGTTATTTATAAATAAAAATTATCAAAAGTTTATCAAAATTTAAAGTTATACAATGCAAATTAGTAGAAATAATTCTAATAAAGTATAAAAACCACTTTAATTAATAAAAAAATCTAATTGTAGTATACTACTATTATTTCTTGCAAGATTTCTTTATTGTAAATTAGTTAAATGACAATATTTTGTAATCTAGTAATTGTAATTACATGGTATTATTTAACTTGTTTTATAGAGATGAATTAAATAGTACCAAAATTATATAATTTAAATTGCTAGATTGTAAGATATTATTAGTGTATCAAATTAGACATTATATCAATTAGATATATCTATTTTATATATTAATTAATTTAAAATATCTGGGTAAAAATTTTCTTGCTAAGTACAATTTCTAAGCTAATTATATAAAATTTTAATTATTTAAATTTTTTGTACTAGTAAATATAAAATTTAACATTATTACTTTTTAAATACATATATTATAAAGTATATATAATTTACAAAATTCAAAAATATAAAATACTTCAAGAGAAATAAAAAATAATATGATATTACTTTTCTATAATAATTTAATAAGAAATAATGATTTTAGAAAATTGGAAAAATTACTTTAAAAAAAAATTGATTAGTAATCTTCACTATATAACTGGCACTATGTTTGTAATAACCCCAATTTAAAATACTCCATTAAATTAAACACCAAAAGTGCATATATAGCTAGTTGTACTTTCATTATAATTGTAAAATATAATTTTTACTTAATAAAAAGTTCCCAGGCCAAAGAGATTACTTTAACTGTTAAAAAAAAAAAAAGTATATTGAAATAAAGTAACATATATATATATAATTAATATAATATAACTAATATGTATATGATAAAAAATAATATATCTTCATATTTTTTAAATAGAGAAATTTAAATAATAATTCTAAACTTATTAATATTAAAGATCTATTTGATTACATTTTAATATTTCACAGCTTTAAGTAATTAATATCTACAGTATATTGTTATTTGAGAGTTGTAGTAATATAATAAAAAGATATAGTTTTTTAAACAATAATATCATTTATATTTTTATTAATAATAACTTTTTTTAAGCATAATTAATAATGCAAGATTATCAAAAATCTAAAAAGAAAATTCGAAAATAGGTTGAATGCCTTTTTGATCAGCCCAGCATGGACCGGGTTTGGATATTAATATGGATTTTTTGTTGAATCTGGTCTCAAAGATCCAGATCCATATAAAATTGGATACATTCGGATTCATATCCATAAACCAATAGACAATCCATATGTAACATATACTAATTATGTCAGAATTGTGTGATCCCTGAACAATCCATGGATAGTCCGTCCCATGCGGAACCCTAGTTGTCAATATTTTTGTTTAAAATTTTAAAAAACTTTTTATATAACCAAATTTGCTTGTTCTTTTTACTAACCACTTCTATATTGTTTTATATCTTACTATACTAGTATTATATTTAGTAAAAGCATTTATAATTTTATAATAACATTTACTGTAATTTAATATTTCTAAAGCTTTATAATTAATATTTTAATATTAGCAATATTGGCTATTAAGATTATGAACAAAAAAAAATTCATATAATTTTAAATTTTTTTTTTTTTTTTTTTTTTACAAAAAAACCATATTACAGTATTTAATAATAAAAAAAAAATTAAAATTGGGTTGCTTTAATTTTACTAATACACAATTATAAAAATATAAAAATATAAATATTAATTTAATTCTGCTCGATTTAATGAAGTAGTATTGTATATTTTTAATTTAAAGACATTAAGGAGCTATGGCTAAATTCCGTTATTTCTAATAATCGAACCGTTTGGTATCCCTACATAGAACGTTTTACGTATATGGGTAATGAAGTTTCAACTCAAATATCAATCATGTTGAGATAATTATAAACTTCTTATTTTGAATCTATATATACTGTACATACGTACGTACGTATGTTATTGTCGGTAATACAGTAATTCATTATTGCAAGAAACAAACAGCATGTGGGTTAATTCAAATCAATACATTTGGGCAGGGGAAAGTCATTTTTAGAATGTATCGTATGATGATGATAATAATAGTTGTATGTAAGAATAGCGTTCTATGAGGCAATCAATGTATTGTTCATAAAGTTACTTTTAAGAGATTTGCTCACAAATAGAAATTACAACTTTAAAAAAGACTGATCATTTGAACAACTCTTATTCATTGCGGTTTTCAGTAAGTGAATCAATCGATCTAAGAGATACATTAGAGTATCACGATAATGACAAATAATACCATTAGCCTGAAAGATCGTATATGCTTTTTGGATAAGTATATCCTCCTCTATTAATGCACTTAATCGCGTGACCTATTGGTATCTTTCTTTCAATTCATTTGTCACTAAAGTTTATATTCAATTTCTTCTTCGTTCATCAATTATAGGAGTAAAAGCGCATGAATGTGCAGATGATTATTTTAATAAGCCACATTATTTATATTACATCTGTAATATCATCTATTAAATTATTGGTACGTAGCGGTAGATAATTGTGGTTGATAGATTGTCCTACAGGACTTTCCGTACAGAAAATATAACAATTAAGGTTGACCCGATTTTCCGGTAAGCGTAGAAGATCTTGATCTTGAATTCATAAAGTTATTATATGAGAAACGAGATTTGGACGTTAATAAATTATAATTTTTTTCAAGGCAACTTAAAGATTTTTTCTTTTTACGCTAATGTATTATTATAAACAAATTCACGACAATAAATCATGAATTCTAGAATTAGAGCAAAAATAAAAAAAAATTTTTTTTTTGACTATTACGACCATGAATAGACCATAATCAAACCATTTAAACCATTTAAACCATTTAGATGTGATTCATGTGAATAACTATGAGATGTGATACATAAATACTAGAAAATCTCAATTGTTTCTTCAATAATTTAAATCTGTATGTAAATTAACCAAGTAAATATGTAAATGTGTACAGTATATATGCAGGTCAGATATCTCAAACATGTAAGCAAAACCCTTTATATACAAAAAAACATTGTTTAATATTTGCATTTTGGTCTCAGATTCTTTTGCAGTCGTTCGCTTGGTTTTTGAGCATCCATGCACTTGATTTTTAATTTCCTGTCTGTATCACTATACATAATTAAACTAATAAATTCGGGTTGAAATCGCGGCTATTTGATCAATTATTACTCTTTTGTTCCTTTCCTTTTTTGCTTGATCGTCTTCTTTAAGTACTCTTTTTTTTCTTTGACAACGTTTCGATCATGCGGAAATTGCCTTTGCGAGAGATATTGATGATAATGTGTATATCTTTGTTATACTTAGTAACACAAGTATTAACTGATGACATAAACGTTCTTATTTTCAAAGAGTTATTTCCTGAATATAAAGTGGTTGACAGTGCGAGTTATGATGATGGAACTATATTATTACGTGTCACGAGACCTAATAGTGGTTGTAATTCTCAAGGAGTAAATTTAAGATTGATTCATCCGAATGGATCAATTTCTTCTATTAACTTGAACGTATCAATACCTGATCTAAATTATTGTTCGATAACTGGAAACGCGTTCACTAAGAAACCTGAAATCAATAACTCAGGTACTTCAACATCGAGTACATTGGATACCACTAATAAAACTTCGGATGCCATAAGGATTTATGCAATAATAGATCAATACATACTTGTAACTTATTTCTGTAAGTTGCCTGACTCTTTTGATATTTGTGGTCTCGTGTTGACCTGGGATTCTCGTATTCTTAGGTTTGTCTGACGCTATTCGTTTAATTATTTCAAACTTTATAATTTTTTAATCTATTAAACTTGTTTTATTCGATTAATGTCAGTAACATGAATTTTGGGGATATGTGTACAGATAGTGAATTTGTTCGGAATATAAATACAATAGATGGTAATTTTTTACGAGTATGCTATATCTCTGACGCTCAAAAAGTTATTTGGACTAAATATTCTTCACCGTAAGTTCAGAAGTTTGTGTGCGATGTTTTAAATTGACTTTTATATGAAATTTTAAAATATTCTATTATTGATATTTTTTAATGCGGATTGGATTCATAGCGATGTGACCACGGGTACGATTAATGTTATTTCAAATGGAACATTGAATAACATCTCTCGTTTTAATCGTGACATCTCTAAAATTTTTCCAACTGAAGACGGGGGATACGGTATAATCTTCACCAGATACAGTGATCCTGTCTCTTCAAGCTTCAAATCTCCAGTAATAATACATGTTATTTTCATCCCAGCTCAAGGAACGGATACAAAAGGGCCATTTCAGATATATACAAGATCAATTGATATTATGTTAACCATCAGAATAGTTAGTTGTCACATTTCCTATGTTTCTCTTGGATATAGCTGCTTGATACATATAAATCAAGCTTCAAATCTTATTCTTGTTGATGTAGACTTTTTGTCTTCTGGATCAGTAATGAACACTCACGAATTTGTCATTGATCCAATCATATCGAATGTATGGAGTGCACTGCCTTTGTATTATGGTGGAAATTGCATAATAGCTACAAATACGACTGATGGATCTGTTACTGGCGTCGTATATAGTGATGATGGTAAGCTTCACGGTCCGTGGGGATTACCAAAAAATTATTTTTATACTTATTCTGTCGGCGTATTTCCTAACAATACGGTGTGGGCGATTGCTACAAATTCTGATGGATGGTCGGTGGTTTCTTCTTCTAATTTAACAACATATAGCACAAGTACGTGTTTATAACAATATATATGTAAACCTTGTTATACGTATTATGATTATTAATTTCTGTGATTCTAGTTCAGGGAAGTTCTGTCGGTCTTGCTAGTTATAGGAATGCATTGGTTCAAACCACTTTTCCAGTAATAAATTCAAAAATATCTCCCACAAATATCACAACAGTTACTATAACATTTCTTAATGATGTTAAAATGTCAGATGGGAACATTAGCATATGGGAATTCGGTGGATTTTTCAGTATTCTTCGTCAATCGTTCTCTGGAAATCAATCGCAATATGTTCAATTATTTAGTAACAAGACTGTAGTTGCTACGGTGTTGTCTAGTACATTTAACAGAGAGAATTCTACATATTATATTACGATTGACAATGGATTCGTTAAAGATGCTAAAGTTGATCAACAACTTTTGGGTATAAAGCCAACATTATGGAATTTTACCACAGGTATGATTAATTATATATTATATAATAATGATTAATAATGATTGTTAATGAAACATACGTATTTTTTTTTCCCTTATTTTTTATTTTTTTTAATCTAGATTTTTCCTTGGAGAATAACAAGGACGATGGTAAAATGTTAATTTGTGTATGGACCCTCATGATGTTACATAAGGTTCAATGCGCGTTAACCGGAATTGATCGCTTTTACCGATACTGGAGAAACGCACACTGAATTTATGCACCGTTTTCCGAATAACTAAAAGATAATTACTCATTGCTAACTTTATTTGATTAGATTACGCTAGTGCCATAGTTCGATTTACTCCGGAAGGATCAACTTTTTACGAAAATCTCTCATCACAAGATCAATCCAAATTTTCTATAGAGTTTTCTAGGCAATTAGCGAGCATAATCCCATGTGATCCGGAAAGAATATCTACAACTAAAAAATATCAATACGATAGAAGTGTTTCAATAGGACAAATCTTATTTCGCGTATATATTGGTAGACCTACAAGTTCATCTGAAGCCAATTCTGCTAAAATAATACAAGATATGGATACTTTGATTAGAAATAAAGCCGTCACACAGATTTCAAAAGAGTCGAATACTTTTTATTTAGACTCTTCCTTTGGAAGTTTCAGAGCTCGTAAGTTTTTTTTATAAAATCAATAAAGTCAACAATAAATTTATTAATAAATTACATAAATTTAGCGGGCTTGTGGGTGAGATATCGGTGGATAGTTCTCGGAACAGCAATTGCATTTATGGTTTTACTTTTTTTATTCTTCTTGGCGAAGCGAAGAAATGAACAGGTATATATCATATTACATAACAGATTATATTTATAAGATAAATCACACGTTATTAAAAAAGATCAAGAAAAATGTTCTGCTTTATAGGGGAATAATTGCGTAATATTCGTGTTCACCCTTGTATTTGTGGATTTGGGACTGGATATTGCGTTTTTAATATTGCATGGAAAAGATTTGATGTGGCTATATCCTACAAGGTTGTTATATATATATATATATATATTAAAAACTATTCAAAAAAAAAAAAAAGTTATCTTATTTTTATTTTATTTTTTTTTTCCAGCCTAATATTCTTGGTTGTTCCAATATGCTTGAATAGCACATTTACTTTTTTTATAATATCAGGAGAACAATCTATAAATAATATTTTTGCCAAATGGTGGCAACAATATTCAAAAACTGCATTAGTATTTATATTAATCTCTGGATTAGATTCAGATATCTTAAATTTTATGGCATCAAAAGTTGCTGGAATTACGGCATTTAGTGCACCTTTCCTATGGAAAACAAGAAAAATTGTTTGTTTTTGGAATTTGTTTATTTTGATTATTGAAGATATATCACAATTTATAATTTTGGTAAGATTATTCTTTCTTCTACAGATTTTCACATGCTACTATTTTTTCTTTTTCACTGACGATGTAAATTTATCTTTCTTATGAAAGATTTTATACCAACATTATACAGTACTACCAGAAATTGTTCCGATTTTAGTATTAGCATCATGTTCGTTACTAATACTTTTCAAGTTATTCACGATCGTCATCTTCATTTTAAATATATATTATAATGACAAACCCAAAAAATCAAAAAAAAAATCAAAAGACGATATTTTGTCAGAACCCACAAATTTACACCATGTTAAACGTGGTATACGAACTAATGGTGAAGAAATTGTTGTCGATAATGATGATGATGAAATAAGTGGGTCACCATTTCCTTCACATCTAAGCTTTTCTCGCAAAACATCTACATCTCATCATCAAAAGCATAAAACGATAACATCAATTTTAGATTACTATAAAACGGAAGAATATACAAATGATAATGGTGGTGGTGGTGGTGGTGGAACAGGTAGTCGTGGTAGTCCAACTTTTTACAATAATTTAACGGAAGAAAATTACTTTTATCGTCAACGATCAAACGTTCACAGTTTATTTTCATCGGTAGGAAAACGTGGTTCATCACCTGAAACAGAAATATCTGAAAGTGTAATGTTGGCTACTAATTCAGTGGGTGAACCAGTATTCTCATTAAGAAATCCTGAAGAATATAGAGGACCGGAGGTTGTACAACGTTCATTAAAAGGCAAACTTGTTGAAGACTCTATAATTAATATTGAAGATAGTTTATTTGAAGACATGAGTAGTAATGACGCGGGTGGAAGTGGATTAATAGGGGATGTATATGGCGGAATATATGGAGATGGTGGAAGGAATAGTAGTTCATCGAAACGATTAAGTAATATAGGAGTTATTGGAAATACTGATGAATTATCATTTGAAGAAAATGCTACAACATTTTCGGAATTTGATTTAGAAGAAAATATAGCAGCATTTTCAGAATTTGATTTTGGAGGAATTTATCCACAAACAGGTATAAATATCGGAATTGAATCAGAATTATTGACGACAACATCAAGTTTTACGTTTGATACTTTTCAAAGAAGTAGAGCTTTGGAGATGGATAGTACAACCGTGAGATCATCTCAAACTATTAATACGCAGATAGGGAGCAGTGAAGATAATCAAGAAAGAGATGAGTAAAACTGATATGTATGAAATTTCAGACTTTTTGAGAGATAGAAAAAAATTATTATATATACACATACAAATTAGCATTTCTCAATCTTAAAAAAGCATTTATGATTAAAAATTTGTGAACGTGCTGGATTACATGTTTTTTTTTTAAAGTAGTAGTTATAGAAATTTACGTGTCTTATATCGGCGAAATGTCTGTAGGGTAGACAAATTGTACTTAGTTTGATTCGTTAGTATTCTTTTTAGTAAAATGTTAATTATTTACATAACACACGCATCATTATGCGAGTTGTATTTTAACAAACTTAACAATTCGAAATATGATGCCTTTAAATAACGATAATAAAAGTTAAAAGATAAGATTATCTGTTATATTCTTAAATTTCTATTCATTTAATTCTTGGTTAAAGTTAAGTTTTTATTTCGAACATCAAAATAAATTGATCTCGAACCCTCAAAAATGTGCTATATAAAATGACCAAATTGTAAATATTACCTTGTAAGGAAAAATTAAGCTTGTTCATTTTATATTATTACACAAGAAAAAAAGTTCGGTTTAACGGGACTATATGCGCGAAGTGAAACTCAAGCCTTAATTTTCAAAATTCTAAAATGGCCGATTCCTAGTTTAAATGATCGTGATCGCACCGCGATACAGTAATAGGCTTTTTTTTTTAAAAAAGAATTTATCTTCAATAGACTTTGCTGGAAGGTTCAACTAATTTATTAAACTTGATCATTAAACGTCAGGACACTATATCATACAAAGGTCAAATAGTAATTCAGCCTATTAAATAAATTCGGAAGAAACCCCACGTTTGCTTGAACAATTACAATTCATAAATTACATAAAATTGACTTGCTAAAGACCATATAGTTTTAAGCTTATCGAGAGTTCGTTATATCCTTTATTATTATAAGATTATGATTATGAAAATAAACCGATTTTATTATTAACAAAATTAAAAAATCGATAAATATAAGGGGGTTTTTTTTTCTTTATCATTATTTCTTATAAATTTACAGCAAGTCATCAATTTTGCCTCTACATTTATTCGTTAGATATTTATTTTTTTTTTGTAGGTTTTTATCGGCCTAATGAAATAATCACTGATAGTCAGAGACGAGAGCGAAATCATTTCTAACGAATAGCTATAATAAATCATTGGATAATCTGGCCATAATGGTAAGCGCTTTTATTATATGATATTCGACGAAGCAATACAGGTCACGAAAAATTATGGTTAAGTCGTTGATTAATTAATGGTCTTTGATTTATCCATAAATAAAAATGCAATGAGAAATATAGTGCATACAAAAAAATGAAGCGGTCCGCATGGCTTGGATAACACGGAGCAACACTTTTTTCGTACCAGAATTTTCAATTCCTTATTGATCGTAATTTTCGATCATTAACGTCTATATTTTATTCGGAATCTTTAAAATTCTCTAAGAACCGAAAAAATCTACTAGAATCTCGTGATATTATGATCTACAGAGGTCACCGCCATAATAAGAATTTGCATACGAAATACTGTATATGTACAAATTAAATTCATTATATCGAAGATTTATTAATAAGTTTATTATTTGAAAAGTTTTCAAACAGACAGGTTAAACTTATTTTTTTTTTAGTCAATATTACGGCATATATTTTTTTCTGAACTCGAGTTAAGAAAATGACTATAATCAGATTCAAGCAAAATTTAAAAAGTAAATTCTTAAATTTCACGTTGCATCTTAGAATTTTGGTGCTACGTAGGGTGGTTAATCCAAAATTTTCATAGTCGGATTTGGAATTTCATGCATATTTGCATACGCAGCATTTTTTTTAATGCTATATACAAGTTACACATGAAATGCAAGTCGAGTCCCAAGTCTGACTTGGGACTGAACTATAATTAAAGACTCGACTTTTTTTGGAGTCGATTCTAACATCCCTATTACTGTATACTATAGACACGCGCAGATAACGTAATTAGAATTCGGTTTAATATCTGATACAGTATCTCAGCGATATATTGCAGGTAGTGATGGGACTAAAGATGCTAAAAATTTGATTGTCACGCGCCGTGATCTATTTTATAAATTATTGAAATCAGAATCCTTTATCTCTATAACGATAACACTAGCATAATACCAGATATTCAGCATTATTTTTTAAAACTAACCCCCAATTATAAAACACAATGAAGTGTAAGTGATTTAGCAGTTGGTTGAATGCAACTATATGGTACTTAAATTTAATTCGGACGATTCAACTCATAAGACATGTTGGGGAATGTACTAAGGCCGTATTATGAAATAAGGCCAAGTTAAAACTATGCTTAACATACCCCACTCTTTTCGAGCCTCAGATAGAGGGGGTAAATAACATCACTTAATATAAAAATCATATTAGCTGTTCAAAAAAAAGTTTTTTTATAGACAATCATGACTAAGTCGATATTTAAAATTCGGCTTAGCCTGCTAAGTCAGAGTCGATTAGTATTTTTTTGCCTTCGGAATTTATCGGAGATTTCATCAAATTTTTGTCGCGGCATGTACCAAGAGAGGTCATGTATCGAATCTGATTGGTACTTTAATATAATCTAACATAAATTGACTAAGTCGATTTTTTGAAAAATCGGCTAAGTCGATAAAAATCGACTATGCGAATTCGACTACAAACAATAGTTTTTTTTTTACCTCCGTTTAGAGTTACAGATCATTTATTAGTGTTATGTTAAACATAAAATCAAATTGGCACTTCATATATTATCGTCTATGGTTTAATAGATCGTATAGTAAATTCTAGAAAAAAATCTAAAATTGGGGAGAAGCATAATGATCAACAAAACGTTACAAAAATGTCCAAGTCATCCAATAAAATCATTCCACATAGATAATTTCTTTTTTGTATAACCAATCATCCATTGACAAGATTCTTTTTTTTATCTGATAAAAAAATAGACAAGATATAAATAAATATAAACGGATCATTTGGTTTTTTTCTCCACGAAATTGAATTTTTTTTTTTACTTTTTAAATAACCAATTCGTTTAGCATAGTATACATAATATTCATTAAGCAAAAAATGAAGTCCAAATTTTGGCTTCTATTAATTTTATCATGTCTAATTGCCTGTTTTATAGGCTTTCCTTTATTAAAAGTTTCTGCCCAAGATGCTAAATCCGAACCATCGAAAGATGCCAGCAGTAATGAAAGACCCTTTATTACTCAAGAACCGGATGGTTTTGCAATTGACCCAGAAAATGACATAAATAATGATGGTAAATCTAATTTTGGTTTTACAAAAGAACAAACCGAGAAACTTAAAGAAACTGAAGAAAAGTTTGAATTTCAGGTATATATATTCTTTTATACGATAACGTTCGGATTTTTAAAACCGGTTTTATGTTGTGTATCTTAAAAACCTTAACGATCAAATTATATTTATGCAGACCGAAGTTAGTCGATTGATGAAACTTATTATTAATTCGTTGTACAAAACACGTGAAATCTTTCTTAGAGAACTTATTTCTAATGGTAAATAAGTAACTTTTATCACTATTAATATTACAGTACTATTATTAATTATCATAAATTCTTTTAATTTAATTAATTGAAAATTAATTGAATTTAATTTTTTTTTTTAATACTATTAGCTTCTGATGCAATTGATAAAATAAGATTCCTTTCTCTTACCGATCCTAATGCATTAAAAGCAAATTCACACTTAAATATTACAATATGGACAGATCCTGTTAATAAAATATTAACAATTACTGATAGTGGTGTAGGAATGACACGTCAACAACTTAAAGAAAATTTAGGAACAATAGCAAAATCTGGTACATCGGAATTTTTAAATGCTTTAGAAGATAAAAAAGCTGATATGAATTTAATTGGTCAATTTGGGGTTGGTTTTTATTCGGTATTTTTAGTGGCTGATAAAGTTATTGTTACTACAAAACATAATGATGATGATCAATATATTTGGGAATCTCAAGCTATTAATGATTTTACTATTGCTAAAGATCCTAGAGGAAATACTTTAGGTCGTGGTACTCAAATTAAATTACATTTTAAAGATGATGCTGTTACATTCCTTGAAGATGATTCTATACGTAACCTTATTTTAAAATATTCCGAATTTATTAACTTTCCTATTTGGTTATGGACAAAAAGAACTGAAACTATCTCTATTGATGCTGATGAGATCGATAAAAAAGATTCTGATAATGCAAAACCTGATTCTGATGAACCAAAAATTGAAGATGCTCCTGAAGATGATGAAAAATCTGATGTTAAAACAAAAACTATTGAAGTACCTGGTTGGGAACTCATGAATACTCAAAAACCTATTTGGACTCGTGAGCCAAAAAATGTTACTGATATAGAATACGAAAACTTTTATATGTCTTTCTCAAAGGATAGTAACCCTCCTCTAGCTTACACTCATTTCAAGGTATATATATATTTATTTATTTATTTATTCATAGTATTTTTATTTACAGTATTTATTTATTATCCATAAATAACTCTATGCTAATTAATTTAATTTCTTATTATAGGCCGAAGGTGAAGTCGATTTCAAAGCTATTGTATATATTCCATCTAGAGCTCCTGATAACTTATTTCAAAAAGTTCAAGATTTTGCTCGTAACATTAAACTTTTTGTTAAACGAGTATTCATCACTGATGAATTTTTGGATTTCGTTCCAAAATATTTAGCTTTTATAAAAGCTATAATTGATGCTGATGATTTACCTTTAAATGTTAGTAGAGAAACTTTACAACAACATAGAGCTCTTCAATTAATTAAAAAACGAATTATTAAAAAAACTTTAGATTTAATTGCTGATTTAAAAAATGATGATGTTAAATATAATAAATTCCTTAAAGAATTCGGTACAAGTTTAAAAGTTGGTGCTATAGAAGATAATGAAAATAGAAAGAAAATCGCTCATTTATTAAAATTCCCAAGTTCTTATAAAGGTTCTAATTGGACTACTATAGATGATTATATTAGTAGAATGAAAAAAGATCAAGATAAAATGTATTTTGTTACTGGTTCTTCCGTAGAAGAAGTTGAAAAATCTCCTTTTATTGAAGGATTTGTGGCAAGAGGTTATGAAGTTTTATATATGGTTGAACCTATTGATGAAATGTTAGTTCAACATATGCCAGGTCATGGTGGTAAAATGTTTCAAAATATCGCAAAGGGTAATATAGATATTGATAAAGATGATTTCGAAGGCAAGGCTCAATTAAAATTCAAGTTTGCCAAATTAACTGAATGGATGCAAACTATACTTGTTGATCAAGTCGAAAAAAGTTTGTATATATTTTATTTTTTTAATTATTTAATTTAATAATAACTGTTTTTAATATTATTATTTGTTCTACTTTTATTACTTTATACGAATTTTATTAGTCATAATATCAGATCGTCTTGTTACATCTCCCTGTGCTGTCGTTGCGAGTGAATGGGGTTGGACTGGTCATATGGAAAAAATAATGGCCGGTAATTAATTATTCTTTCTATTTCTACAGTAACTCACTTTTATTTTTTAACTAATAAATTTATTATAAAATTTAGCACAACCGTTTAAACAAGAAAATGAATTCATGAGAGAATTTTATGCAAAACAAAAGAAAATTCTAGAAATTAATCCACATCACCCACTTATGCTTGGTTTATTGGATAAAGTTGAAAAAGGCCAAACAGATGAAACTATAAATGAATTAGTCCAAGTTTTATATGAATCTACTTTAATTAGATCCGGTTATGTGTTAAAAGATAATTTAAAGTATGTCATTATAATGAAATTGTTGCTTTTTCGTGTCTTATTGTTATATCGTTATTACATACAGTATTAATCTCACGATAACTTATAAATTTAAAATTTTCTTTATTAGATACTCAGATAAGGTTGAAAGAATCTTAAGGAAGAACTTGGGTATAGATCTTAATGCCAAACCTGAAATTAATATTGTACCAGCTGAAGATGCTGACCCTACTGGAAAAAAGAGTTCGGAATCAAAGGAAGAAAATGATTTGTTTAACGAATTGGATCAAGATGATTTTTCAGATCCAACTAAGCCTTCATTTCCTCATGATGAACTTTGAAAAACTAATCTAAAGACCAGTAAAAAGACCAGTAAAATCAGTAAAGTATTGTTTAGTTCATGTTGGATAAGTTATTAGACGTGATACAATCATGTATCTTGAAGTTTGCTGTAATGTTATTTTGGTAGTTTGATGTAATCTTGTAATGAAATTTTTAAAAATGTTAAATATTTTAAATAAAGGTTTATTTCTTGATATTAATCATAATACATTTTTTATGTTTAATTAATGAATAACCAAGAATATTTCAGTAAAACCGAAAAATGCTCTGAAATGATTTCTATTCTTCCTTTTTTAGCTTCAATTTTTAAATATAAATTTTATAGTGTTGTTCAAATTAAAAATTTACTTGTCAGTGGTCCGGTCAAACGGTTTGGTTTATCACTATTAAATAATAATAATTTAGTACATACCGTATTTTCGCGTAATAACGTTATTTAGAATAATGGCCCGAATTAAGCTTAATTTGAGCCAAATTTTGAAATTACACCCCTGCGCGTTATTTCGCGAAAATACGGTATATATGTCGTGCCTCAGATCAATTCTTGCGTCAGATTAAAACCGGCCTAAGTTAGATTAGGGTTAGGGTAAGAATCTGGGAAGGATTTGGGCTTAATTTAAGTCAATCAATATCGATCAGTTAATGCGGGCCAAAAAGTTGACATCTGACGCAAGCATTAATCTGAGGCACAACATATACATGATATATATAATATATAAACAATTTGCTAAATCTCTTTACTAGGGATGTCCATTGCCGGTTACTGTATCGAAATTCTCAAACTTATATATAAATAGTACTTCTAGATACTTAAAATCATGCTGAAATGTCTAAATTAAAAAAAAAATTTTTATTAAAAAGTATTCAAACCTGTTTACTTTGGGATAATTATATAACTATAACATCACTAATTTAGACATAGCCATATAACGATAATATTTATTTAGTTAGACGTTTAGTCAAATTTAGAATTTTGAATTAATTGTCTAAATGCCTAAATGGGGTATTTCGACTAAACATTAGTCAAAGACAGTAAAACTCCCTGATTAAAATTTAAAGCTTATATTCAAAAACAAGATGATACTACATGTATGACCAATCGAATTGATCGGTGTAATCTAATTTAAGTTTAAGTGATACATAATCAGGTTCGTTGGAAGTAAAATCGGGTTTACTTGAATTAGGTCAAACGAACAAAAATCTGGTTAACCTGACCTGATTCACCAAATCTGGTTCACTTGAAACCGAATTAGGTTTAGATATTCCGGTTTTGGTCAAAGTGAATTGAATGCAATATATTTGTATTCAGCTATTTAAATCTAATAATATCAATTTCTTTTTACATGATAAAGAAAATGTTTATTATTAAATGAATTATTTAAATTATCCTTCAATCTACTATGATCTGCATCAATCAACAATAACTATATAAATTATCTGACCGACGAGGCATCGGTTACGGCGGGATCATAATTGTGATCGCTGACATCCTACCTTTGATCGAATCGGTCAAATTGGTCTTAAGATCGATTCGTGCCAACTTTGAGATAATTCAAATTCAAAATTTATAAATATTACATGTATAGCACTTTTTATTTTCCTAATTTTGATGAAATAGTTTGTTCAATTACTGCTGTACTGTATGTACTATAAGGAAATATTATGAATTTTAATTTGTCGCTTAGATTTACTATAGTCTGATGATTAACCACTTACACAGCCTATAGAGAAAAAATTGATTATATAAATTTTTCTGCCATTTACGCATGATAAATAGTTTATTTCTAAGTATATATGCATTAATTGAACTTGCTATAGCAAAACTCTAGTTGAATACTTGATGACCTGAAATTACTTTTTAATGCATTTTTAATAAAATATCAAAAACATGACACTCCTAAAAATTTGATTGGCAGCATCAATTTATGGTTATAACGATATAAAAGTTTAAACTCATGACAATTTCCCAGTCTTAAATAATTCGATCGTATAATGACGAATAATTGTAAAACAAATATTATAATTACGGAAACTGAAGGTCAACCAAAATAAAGTCGTTACAAAGCTTCTAGAAAATGTGTTGTCAAATAATCTTGAATAGTATTCTCATTATAAATAAAGATCAAAATCTTACCGTTCAAGATACTGAATCAATTGAAGAAGTAACAAATATATTTTTGACATAAATGCATTTTGATAGATTTTTATCAGGAAAAGAATGAATGGGTGGCAATTTATTTTTAAATATCATTAAAGCAGAATGCTAAACATTTAGACTGCTCTTTAGCTGAAATCCTTATTGCATCCTCATTCACAGATTTCAAAAATTCAGTTGTAAAAACTTTCGTAATAAATTAAATTATTATAAAGATAATCGCTTTACTGTTACAGGTTTAAACACTGATACGTAATAACCAATATAAATGTATATATATGCATATATATATATTACTTATGTGCAATTGGTTAATTGTCGTGCTTGATTGTCTGCATATCTAAATGCTTGCATTTATGCATGTAGTTTTAAATCTCGCTATAGTACTAACAAAGATCATTCTTACACCATTCCATTACTATTGTGTAGCCTAAAATGAGCTGCGATATAGACCACAATTCAGTGATTTGCTCGATCATAGATCAACCATAACAACTTGCAGGCAAGTTTGTCTGTAAATCGGTGAAAAGATAAAAATACAAACGGTAAAGCTATATACTGTAAATACGCTCATTTGATCGTAAATGAAATATCAGATACAAGTTTTCGGAATAATTCTTTATTATTACTGTATTAGTATGCAAAATATATATATTACATGCGATATTATGTTAAAAGTTCAATGTTTTCAACGTGAAAATATAATAATTTCAGAAAGTAACTTTTATTTTTTTGCGATGATAAGGAACTAGCTATGACAACCATAAATCTATCTACTTTTAGGCATTGAAAAGTGTCTTGAGGTTATTTCATAAGTTTAGTGTAACCCACCAACATTATAAATCATAATTGCATTAAGTATGAATAAACTTATCCAACACACTAATACAGAGATCATTAAACCTTTGAAGTACGTGCAAGTGGTTTTGCAATATTCGAGAGCATTCAAGGAATAGGCCGCAATGTACGCTTCGAATGCGTCGGTATAAGGTTTATTCAGTTTATTCGCTTACAAAAAATTTATTTGTGAATCAATTGGTGTTTATGTCAATAGTAAAACTTCTTTCAGACAACCTCAATAAGACATAATGTTAGGACTCTGTCGGACACAACATACAGTAGTTAATAACATTCAGGCCTTAACAAAAAAAAAAACCTACTTACGGCAATAATTATGTAAAATTATGTCGTAGCTTCGTGAAATGCTATTTTCAAAACCCAAGATATTTTACATATTAGTTTTGTACTACAAGTCTGAAATATTCTGAAACTATATCATTTTTTTAATAAGACTATTTGACTTACATAAAATAGCATGTTTTTGAGGGACCAGCCGTGATAGTTATCATAAACCCTTTACGATCTTCGAATGGTGAATTTGAACTCCAAAATCCTTCTTTAACAAATTATTAACGAAGATAACCGCTCGTAACCTCATTTGAAACTTCTACTATCACCTCCCGAACTTCTTTCTCTGATAATGACCAAAAGGATATCATGAATGCATCGAAGAATTCGAATGATGATCTATCATTTGAATTTCCCAAGATTTCTTATCACATTTGTATATATGGCGTATTTTTGATTTTATCAACAGTACTTGCCATCTTGGCAATTATTTCCCCACAGACCATTTACCCGACGTAGATCAAGATGTCTTAGTAAAATTGGGATTGATTGATTGATTTCTTTATTTATTTCCGCGGGATCCTGCAATAAAGATTAAAAATTCTTCTGACGGAACAATATACTATATATAATTAACTCATTAAATTTACGTATATAACTATTTTTAGCAATATAAAAAAAATAGCCAGCTATTAGCGAGGGTACCTAAATAAAAAATAAATTAACTAAGCTATCCAAACTTTAATAAATTTACATGACCAGCCAAGGATAGAACACGGTAAGTCCCTTTTTTTTAGATTGATAGACTTGAAACACTTAAATACTGATATGTAATATGCTACGCGTTTTGACATAAACAATATGTGAATTTGATTTTTTACTGTATTTCGGACATAGTTAATATTACAGCAGTTTTCATAAATTCTGAACACTTCAACGACCGAATCGATGTCGGCGATGTTGATTCTACATCGAAAAATTTTTGAAAACAGCTGTAATCCAGTCAATATTAAAAATTTTCCAATGATCGAATCGATAAGTACCGGATCATTCGCCCGTTTACAAGATCAATGATAACCCGAGTAACTCGGTTACCCGGTTGTCTTGAACAATCTAATACTCATATTCTCTTTTAATATTCAAGCTGATTCTTAGCAAATATACAGTAATTTTTTTCCTATAACTTGTCTTTGTTAATGGCTTCAATGACAATATTATATTTATTTTATCGCGTTAATTTAGTCAATAACGATTATTTCTAATTTATCGTATGAAATATTTAAAGTTACGTTGATTAGTCGATAATTCGACAAATGAAGCATTTTTTTTTTATATGAGTGACGGGAAGAGAAAACTTGCAATTCTAAAAATAAATTATTATAAAATTCATATTCATATTAATCTATTTTTAGGATTACTTCCCGTCACTCATATGAAATGCACCATTCTAAACCCATAAATAGAAGTATCTTTCATTTAATTTGAGCATAACGATTATTTGTATTAACATATTTAAGCTATTTAATTCCTACTTGGTTTGATTTAGTTATGCCTAGATTTTAATCTGGCATACTATTCTCGGTGTGGTACGTATTAAAATGCAATGTTATACTGTATATCTTAGTTTTGTTATGCTTTAAGAAAATTATTTCGGGTCATGAGTAGCAATAACTATGACCGATTTACGGATCACCCAGGGTTGGCAATGGATATACTCCATTGAGAAAATTACCAATGGAGCCAATGGCTCCGATAGAAAAATCTAACGAAGCCGATGAAGAAAAAGGTTCTAATCTCTAACCTCATATACCGATAGCTCGGCCTGTTGAAAAATAGATAAAACAGATCAATATCAATGGAGTTGGTTGGCTTCCATTGGCTCCATTCGGAAATTATTCACAATGGACAATGAAGTAATGTCAATGGAGCTGCGTCCCAATGATTTTTCAAATGCCCAGAATTATCCGACCGAATTTGATAAGTGATTGCAATGCATATTTTATTATATTTTCAAAGCATATTCATTGACTTATAGTTGAAATAAAAGTTTAGAAAACTTACCAGTTCGATTAAACCAACTAATGTATTTAGATTTTAGTTTTTTATGGTTAGTGTTCAACGTAACTTGAAAGGGCCTTTAATTCTATTTCAAAATCAAGCTTAAACCGGATCAATCCGATTTCACGGTTCGGATTGGATTCTGATTATTATTATCGGAATACTATTTGTGATTGAATTCTCGAGCAATTTCATGTGGAAAACTTCCATCACTTTTAGAAAGGCACGTTTAGTATTGATGTTTATCATTATATTTAGAACTTTTTGACATTTACCGTCTAGCACTGTATACAGTACCCAGGGTCTTATTCAAGAACTCCATTTTTTAAATTGAGTAGTACCCGCGGGTATTGTGTGAGGAACCGGGTGCTATATGTAGGGTTATATCATATCTGATATGGAATTAATAAATTAAATATAATTATACCCCCGGATATATTCAAGAATTAAGTAAGTCAAATGGGCGATGAATAATACCCGGGCCTTAATCATAGGGGGTACTATTCATTGGGATACTTTATACGTGCTAGACGGTAAATGAATCTGATAGTTGACTTTGATAAACTGAATGAAATTGGGACACTTGACATACTACTGTACAGGTATTAATGAAAATCGGAGAAAATGCTATCAGTTGTATCAGAATTTATAAGAACAGTTATAATCATAATTGCGTGAATTTATCTGGTATAATAAACCGATTAATCAGATTAAGCCGGTTAAAATAAACCGATCGAACCGATTAACTGACCCAGAAAATTTATAAATTATATTACGATTACCGGCTCCAATCTCTAGCCTGATTAGCTTTTCATTATTAATAATTAATTTTTGCATACGTAGCCTAGATTGCAAAAATTACAATAATAAGAATTATTTTTTTTAAATTTTATAACATTGTATTAAGAACAATTATAAAAACTATGAGTTTATGTGGTTTAAACCTGTTTCAAGTAACAGCTTCCTTGGTGTGTGATATTATTTGCTAATACGTAATCGAGATGCTTGCTTAATAATTAATTGATAACAATTTTTGCTAAAAACTCATTGTGCAAAATGCGGATTTTAAATTTTAATATCTATGTAATTATGACTATTTTGTCAGGTCCATTATTTTAGCAACTATAATTTAGCCAATCAGATAATACTATAAATCATAGAGAAAGAGAAAGGCGCTTGAGAATTGTACCTATTTCAGTATTTGAGAACACCTAACCAATTAGGATAAATAAATTTGAATTTCGACAGCTATTCTTGGCGAACTGGCGCTGGATATTATTAGAATATCACGGCCTAGTAATTCCATAACAGGTTAGATATCAAATGTAGTATTACTAAAGACCCATCTAAAATGGTTTAAAAATCGACATTGAAAAAAATGTATGAAACGGTTATTCACGTGCAAAATACTGAAAATCGGAAATACTTCAATTTTATTGTTAAAACAAATAAAATAAATAATTCTCCGTGTTTCTTGTGGGGGATTTCAGTACAACTGTACCGTGTCGTTACAAAAAAAACACAAAAAATAATACTTATAGTATTAAAGTTTTAATTTAAATAAGCATGCGATTATTTTGCAATATCTGAAATAGTATGTATACGTATTAAGAAAATCAGAATTTCTTTAAACATTCATATACAATTTATATTCTGCATTATATGAATTGATGATATTAACAGTATCGGTGATTCTATAAAAGTGAACTGCAAATCCGAAATTTACAATAAATATATATATATATTTTTCTTTATAAAACTGACCCGGCCGCATTGAGAACCATAGAATATATTTTGATTTAGCATAAATAATGCAACGAGATCATAATTTATCCATAGATACAACTGCCGCATCCTATGGTCAAGATAGTCAATCGTCTCCATTGACCGATGATGAAGACATTAATTTCAATTTGGTTTATGCATCACGCACTTTTAGAGAAACCGTTGAAGGTCGAGTTAAAGTTGAAAAAAATGATTCACTAATTTTGTTAGATGATTCGAATGATTACTGGTGGCTTGTTAAACTATTGAAGAATGAAGATGTTGGTTATATGCCTGCCGAAGACATTGAGGTGAATTTTTGTAAAGTTTATTGTTATGGAAACAATTTAACAATTATTGACAGACGTAAATTATAGATGCCATTTGAAAAATTAGCAAGAATAAACAAACACAAAAATGTCAACGTAAGTTATTCATGATCTAATAAATTAGTCGATGATCGTTTTTTTTTTTTAGACAACAAAAATGACAGCAAACTGATTAAAATAGTTAACAATACCAATAAACAATATCGAAGACGATAATTTATCTATGAACCAAAAAAAGAGTAAAACCAGCAAAACCGTTTATTTTACGTCCCCTGAGTGCTTTACTTGCGAGGAAGAATCTGAGGACGAAGATGAGCAAGAGATTGAAGAACAAAAAACAGAAACAACGAACCAAGAAAACGTTGAAGTTCAGATAATAGATGAACCTGAAGAAATGGATGTACAAGACACTGCAAGTGCTACACCAACGTCTCAGGAAGTTGAAATAGTACCCGAGCAAACGTCAACATCGGCACGTGCTGATGAAAACGTTCAACAAAATATTGAGGCTATATCGAAAGTTGCTGTCAGTTCACCAATAACGATAAGCCAGGTTGATCATCAACAGAATGATGAACCTGAGAGTAACAACAGGAGTAACAAGATAAAAACGAGAAAACAAACAGGAATATTTGATTATGACGTAATGAAGATGGATTCGTCTAGTTTTGTTTCAAAAACTTCAGATATCTCAAATCAACCTCCAGAAACACTTATGCCAGACTTAGGTAGTGATTTCATGGATTTTTCAGATGATGACGATGAACCTCGTATCATAAATAGATTTTTTGGAAGAGGAGATGGTGCTAGTTCTGTGAAATATAATTCAACAATAGATGATGTTTCATCATCTGATGAGAAAAAGAGTAACAAAGGAAAAGAAAAGAAAGATGGAATATTTAAGAATTTCTTTAAAAGAAAGAAGAAAAAAGGTGATATGCCATTGAATATTAATAAATCGTTGTTAAATGACCAATTACAAATGGGATCGTCAAAAGAACTATCAACAAGTCCAAAACATAGACAACGTAGAAGGCCATCTATTACTCAAACACCATCAGATTCTACATACAGCGTTCTTCGTATTTATCCCGGCCAAAATCTACCAACAAACTTTAAATATAAAATTAGTTTACTAAGTCAAAAAACGACTAGTATAGCACTTATTAAACAAGCAATTCATCGGTTTAAATTAGATGATGAAAATTGGGATAGTTATTATATTTCTATGAAAGAAATAAATAGAGAAGAAAGACATTTAATGCCACATGATCATCCACTTGAAATTTTTAATTCAATAGTTTCATATCATTCAACACCATTACCACCATCTATTAAAAGGACTTCAACATTATCAATTTCATCAAATATTTCTAACATATCAACTAATGAAGCAATAAATAAACTACAAATACATGATAATCAAAATATTGTTTGTTTATATTTGAACAAAAAATCAAGACCTAGAGAACAGAAGTTACGTATTCGTATTCTTGCTTATTCAGATGATTTGCCTGTTAATTATCAAATAAAGAAAAGTTCAGCAACAGAAGAAAAACAGCCTATAGAAAAAAAACTAGTTGTAACAAAAAATACAACGGCTGGCCAAATTATAGAAAGTGCAATGGATAAATTTGGTATTACCGATGGTATCGTTGATGATGAGCAAACAGTTGATGATAAAAGACCACGATATCGACTTGCTATGTTAGTTGAAGGTGAAGGTAAATTAAAATTTTTTATCACGAAATTAAACTTATTTTTGTTTAAAAAAAAAACGCGACACTTTTTAACATAATATTTTCGATGTAGAAAAACCTATTAATTCAAAAGCAGACATAGCTTCAGCTTACCCAACAGAAAATCTTCGTCTAGTTTCTGTGTGTTCAGTAGGTTTAACACCATTGGAATCAGATAATAGTCCCTATGAGCTTACATTTGTTTTAAGACTTTCAAAACCTAAAAAAGTAGTTCGATATTTGGGACATAAAGAGTATGAAAAAACAATATTATCAGATGGCTTTGGATTACAAGATCTTTTAGGGCGTGTTAGATCAGAATTTAGCGTTACGGAAACGAAAAATGTAAGTAGCGGATGGCATTTTCAGGATCCTGAAAAAATTCTTGAACAAGTTAAACCTACAGAAATTAGAAAAGATGTCTGGTCTATATTCGAAAATGTGAATAATGAACTTGATAGATTAGAATCGGTAAATTTCATCTTTTGAGTTGTTTTGGTTTATTGATTTTATACTTTATTACTAACTTTAATTTCTTTAGGAACTTAATAAAATATTAATTGACGTTATAAGAGTTTTTTAATATTATTATAACATAACTATTATTTCTTATTTAACTATAATAAATATGCTTTAAACCAATGCGATTCTGTAGTATCGAACCGTATATTTATCAGATGTTTTTTAGCCGCGATAGCAGCCCTTATAGATGGGTCTTTGCATGTCATGGGACATATAGTTTACTATGCCCCATAACGTGTGATTTTCACTCTCAGATATTCGAATTTTTATTCTTATACGATAGCATTATCGTTATCCGTTAGAACTAAAATATAATCAAACAGTTAGTATAGTATGTGTTTATAATAACGTTGAAATCAGGTTTATTTACTTTCGAGTATTATTAAAATTTGCGTACAACTGAATAATCTATTGTTTGAGATGTAATCACACATTTCTAATATACATACTGTATGTTTAATATAAAGTTTAAATATATATATTATTTTATCTAAGGATTGTTCAAAGTAATTTACGCTATAAAAAAAATTTTTTTTTTGTTATTTATGGCGTTTATATCTAAAGACTAAAATTCTATTATTCCTGTAGAATCTAATCAACTATAAACGTAACATTATTTAATTCTATATCGATATTATCTGCTCTCCACATTCCTGGCAATAACCACCAATATATATTAAATGGTAGTATTGCAACTATTAGAATTAAAATCGCACCTAAAATCCATTTAGTACTAACTATTCCTTCTTCAATTTTCAAAGTGTCTTGTTTTTTGATGTCATCATTTATACATTCAACACTGCCTGATGTCTCTGATGGAATGACTGCAGAACTTTCAATACCTCTTATTCGTATAGTGTGTTCTACGCCTTCCGTCATCCAATCTTTAACCCTCCAATATAATGTTTGTCTACTTTTAACATACCTCCAATCCCCATCAGAAACTCGGATATCAAGATTTAATCTTTTATAATGATAACTCGGAATATATATTTCTGTTTCTGGTGCAACAATAAGAGCATCGGAGTTTACAATTCGTTTTGATTCAGGATAATTTGTAAATTTAAATGTAAATTCCTTGGTCTTTAAATTAAATATCATGGTATGTGGTATACCGATAATTTTAGCAGCATATGGGCGCTATGTAATGAAAGTTACGAGAAAAATTGATTTAACATCGAATATACTTTCAGTGATTAAATTTTTATACAATTGATAAATAATTCTTACCAAAACGGCATCCAAGACTCTACCTCCAGTATGATGAGACTCTTCTTGGTCTTGTTCAAGCTGCCATGGATTTAGGTCAAATGGAGATGTAGGACTTGTAGGACTTAATTGGTCCATAGCGTTTTCGCACTCTACATATATCTCAGCGCTAATAGGGTTTTCAAGTTTATCCAAGGATAAAGGATTATTTGGTTCTTCAGGTGCATCTTGAAATATTTGCTCTTTATTATCTTTATTATTTTCAAGTTTATCTTGAAGCGTTCGGTCTTTTGGACCATAATTTTGAAATGTCTGAATTTTAAGCGTTCCTTTCACTCTAGATTTCAGTTTCGATCGGAATTCATTATTTACAATGGAGACAGTGGCTTCGTTCGTTACAGTGGTTGAAGTTACTGATGCAGGTGGAGTTGTAGGCATACTAGTCTTGAATGGAGGTGGTGAATATATTGAAAAATCTTCACCGTACCAGTGGTCACCGTGTACGTTATCATTTAATGGATTATAATTCCATAGGCTGTATTTGTAATTTTATCTGAGAATCAAAACACTTATATAACTTTGAATATAATAAATTATTGATCTCTTACGTGAAATTAACAAGGTTCTTTTCCATGGCACCTAACACCGCATCCAAGAAATTGCTATGATGTGTATAGTCACCAGTTTCGAAAGCCTTTTTATCATTAATATCCATTGGTATTCCACATTCCCCAATAACACAAGGCTTGTCTCCTACATTTTTAAGACCATCCTTGATAATGTTCTGAACTTGACCCAAATAATTCTTTTTAGCTCCCGAAATTCCAAAATACGTGGCTGACACAATGTGTTGAGCACCCTAATTTCTCAAATTGTTAGTTTATTATTCAATTAAATCATGATTCTTTTCGAATTAATTTAATAAACTACATTGTAATTTTTTAAGACCTAAATATTGTCTATATCTTAAAAATTAACAATTACTGTATAGCACCAAATTTTATAATATCTTATTGATAATAAATATGTTGCAATACAGTATTTAATAACCATTAAGATTAACAAAAAAATTTTTTTTTAAATATTCATCAAACGCATTAATTCGAAAAGAGTATTACAATTAGAGGTGCTGGTGAAATTAGTTTCACCAAGTTCACAATAGTGGTGAAACTATTTCACCATTCTAATTTTATTTCACCAGCACATTTAATTACATTATTGTAACATGACAAAAGATGGACTTACGCGAGTAAGACGCTGAACATCATGTGTAATCATGCCATCAAAGGTCTTTGTAAATAGACTCTTTAGATCATACCAATGAGGTGCATAAACTATATTTTTATTATGATCTTCAGGCGCCCATTTCGGTGGTGGCTAATAATAATGACGAAAATATTCATTAATGCTATCAAAACAAAATTTTTAACCGTATTTAAATACCTCGTTTGGAAGTGGTTCTACAAAAGTGTAATAATCTTTCTTAACACTTTGAATAGCCTCAGAATATTTGTTTACAAAAGGTAAATAGAAATCTTTATAGAAATCTAGTTTTTCACCGGTTTTGGGGTGTTTCATGAAATAGTCCTTAATCAGGACTTTAGGTTTTGAGGTATTAGTATCAATTCCCCACACACCATGTTGCTGCCAGGTACATTGATTATTTATCCATGCAGATTTGCACTCTTTATTAACAATTCGGGTAGTTTGTTTACGAGTAGGAAATGGCCATGATCTAACCCATACTTCAATCTCCTGAGGTATACCAGCCCCAAGAGCAAATGATTGCAAGGCATTTGGTGAGTCACCAAACACAAGAGTGGCACCAGCATCATATTGAAGAAGATTTGAAAGGCCAATATATCCAGGGCTTAATAACAAGTTTATTTGTTTTTTTTTTAAACATAAATTTTATTGTTGCTAATTAAAATAAATAAACGAAATATAAGAAAATACGTACTGAGGTTCATTCATTAATTCAAATCCCATAACAGCGTCCAAATGTTGAATACGCCTGGATGACATTAATAAAGGTAGTATAAATTATAAATCCATTAACATTACTAAATAATAATAAATAGTATTAGCCTTACTTTGCCAAGTGTTTATAACAATTTATATATTTTTCTTGTAAAAAATCTTTAACGTTTATCCCTTCATATTTTGTTTCTGGTGCAAATACATCACCACCCCAAAATAGGGTGAACATTGTACTACTAGCCAATTTTGTATAATTTGTAGGCCATACCATGGGTAACGGAGGTTCACCTGGACTATGATGTGTATTATGAACATAAGCAGCACCTGTAGCCTTGAATTCCTCTATGTTAAGACCTGCAACTTCAAAAGTCCACCCTGGAGCACCAGAGCCACCTGAAAAACGTGACCACTATATTTATAATGAGACATTTAATTAAATAAATTAAAAATAATTGGGAAATGATTTAAATAATAATAATAATAATGTACTTACACAATCCTGATGTGGATCTATGAAACACTTAATGCCGTAACGTGGCATCTCATTGATAACATTAATCAGATAATCGATAAATTCTTCATCATAAATACCACTAATAAAGTGAAATAATTTTATAGGATGAAATCATAATAATCATAATAAAATGATAGATTAAATATTAAAATCAAAATAATAATAATAATAGTAATAATAATAATAATAATAATAATAATTATTATTATTATTATTATTATTATTATTATTATTATTATTATTATAATATAAGATAGAACTTACGGTCCAGCATGTTCCAGAGCTTCCCAGGGTACAAGTAATCTTACAAAAGTTAGACCCCATGTTCTCAATCTAGAAAAGTGTTCATGAACATCTTCCAATGGAAAGGGACGTCCAACAAAAGATACATTACGATGATCAAAGAAACCTTCAATCAAATGACTTGAACCATCTGGTTTTGTAGGTAATTTTGAATTTCCACACAAATTGACACCACGTAACATACAAGTTCGGCCCTGTTCATCCTTGAACCAACGGCCATCAGCGTGAATTGAACCACCGCCACAAGAATACCAGTTATGAGCTAGGGCTCCAGACTCACCGAGTGCTAATAAGTTTTCTTCGGTTAATAATGATTTATCATTCCTTGTGGGAGTTCCAGGAGGAGTAGACGCGTAAGAACTAAGAGAAGAAACGGAAGCCGTACGCTTTAATTCAGGGAGAGAAAGATGGCGGGAACGTCTAAAGCGTAAATTTTCATAACTTGTTTTATTTGCAAGTGATATTTCATCAGAAGAGTCACTATCAGAAACAGAAGCTATTTCGGAATCTACAGAGATCTCGGGAGCGGTAGATGCAGAAGGGTTTAGAGTAGAAGCTTCCATATCGATCTTTAATAAGGTGAGAGGAGTAACAAATCTAAGTCTATCAGCAGAATTTATAAAAAAGAAAAGATAAAAAATTGAAAAAGAATGATTTAGAGTGTGGAGGGAAATAAATAAATCGAACACAAAAAGAGTGTATATAGTCGAATAAAAAGAGTGGCGAAGGTTGAATATAGACTTGGCAGAGTGAAGGACTAAATTTAGTATTACACGAGACCATGTGCCAATCTTTAAATCTGCTTTAAAGTTTATTTTGATTGGGTAATTTAAAATTCTAAATATAAACAATCCAATTCTAAAATAAATTATCATTACCAAGAAATCGATTACTGGATATTTCCTCTTTTCGAAAACAAGCCACTTAGCTGTGAAATAATCTATAATGACAAAGTTTCAACCAATTAGATGTATTGATCCATATTGCTGTATTGATTATTATTATTATGATTTATTTCGGTTATTTGTCGTATCGTGCGTACATACAGTACTTATATTACTGAGCCACAAATGTAAGACAAGCAAAAATATTTTTAAAGTTATATATCGCTCTCAACACAGAGAATCCTATTCGAGTTTGAATTATATCGATATCCAGTACTATTCGTGGCTTTAGAGATGTCGGGAGATCGATCTTTTGCAGTAGAAATCAGTTATTTGTCATCTTTTGGTCAAAGTGTACACTGAATGTTGCGACAATGTCTAAGCCAATCAAATCAAAAAAATCGTAAAAATCAAATCTAACTAGTTTATATTTATTAACGTTAAAGTTCATTAAATGTTGTCCTTGAAAACAGTTTCACATTTATTTACCGACAATCAGTTCCAAACCCACCTCAGTCATTCTCGATAATAAAATGTGATTACCATATGAAACTCTTAGAATATCACTCATCTTAAACAATCTTTATTCATCCTGTCAAATGATGAAATCTACGGATACATTGCAAAATAGTAAAAAGAAAATCATGATTTGAGTGCTTATCATATTTTAAGATTAAATCTAATAAAATTCAATAATGTACTATATAGTTAATAAATAATCGATTAGAATCACAGTATGCTAAAGATGACATTTATATATAATATATAAATTATATATAAACAAATTGAACGTGAATATAAACATATCCTAATTTAAGTACAATCACATTCAATCATTTAAATAAAAACAAATATGGGGTCTTTGCCTTGAAAATGACCTTACGGGACTGTGTAGATTTTATGAATAAAAATTAAAATTTCTAGCCATCTAATAACCCAATTCAAATAATTTTTTTTTTATATTATAGAACTAACTAAGCTCTATAAAATAAAAAAAAGTTTATTTGAATTGGATTACTGGATAGCTAGAAATTTTAATTTTTATTCATAAAATCTACATAGTCCCGTAAGGTCATTTTCAAGGCAAAGACTCCATATCTTGAAAAATCGTTTCATACATAATATTGCGACTTGCAAAATGATTATCTTTGATAAAACTTGTAGATAGCAGTTATCCGATTGCACAATTATACACTATAATTTTCAGTGAATATATTTTGCAATCAAAATAATGATTAAGTTTTAAGCAATGGTTACGTACGTACCTGATTTTTAGTGGCAATACTAAGTGGGTTGGCAAGTTCATTTCCTGACAGCCCATTTAACGAAGCATTATTTTGAGCAAGAATACAATTTTTTTTTTCGTAACACATGGGTGCTATTATAATAGCTAAAATTAGCAACAAATTTTGAACTCAAACTATTAGAAAACACTTCATCGGGGGTGTTACAAATGAAAAACAACTATGGGTATTCTATACCTTCCGCTTTCGTGATACACCTATTAACAGTGCAGAATTTGAGAGTATCGAATGGACAACCTATACATGATGCTACTGTTCACCATGAGCGTTATTACGACAGCTACTTGACGGGTGGGATAAAAAAAAAAACTAGAATTTGTCTGGAAAAAACCTGCTGATTACCGTGTAAACCAAAAACAAGGCTAGTGCTATGTGCTCAAATACGAGAAAATTACTTCGTGGCTGTCCTCCCCGACAGGCCACTTCCACTACAAAAACCCAAATTATGACTGTCGTCCGACAGGCTATAATTTCTCTAAAATAAATAAGCAGTGACTATCGTCTCGACAGGTCATAATCATACAGACTACCAAGTGTTGTTATTGGACATCATACATGAGGCTAAAAAATTTGGATTAGACTTTATAAGTCCAATTGGCCTTAATATACTAAAAAAAAGCTTTCATAATATATAATTATTAGATAATCTCCCAATAAATTATAGTTATTGTACGGTGTCTGACGTAACAATCCCGTGCCAATAAGTAAATGAAAAAAGCACGGGTTGTCACATAAGACCCGTACAATAAACAAGATTACAGAAGAACAGTATAGTAAAAATAGCTATATAGAAATGTATAGTACCATTCTAATAATATAGATATATATAACACTGATTGGTTATATATCCAAGAAACAGGTATTACCCTTTTTCTTTTTTTTTCCATACTAATCCTTCCTTCAATTTTTGTCAAGAATTACCTACGTACAGTATAACATATCACGAATGCCACCTCTTACTATTGAACCGATTTCCACTGTAACAGTATGCCATATATTCTGTTGACAAGATATAATGGCAAATATTCCAATATTTATAAGCTGAAAGTTCTAGATCTAAGATCTTTAGCGATTCTAATAGTTTATTATACGGGTCATAAATGATAGTTTGTGCTTTTTCAAAAGCTTATTTTCACAGGTTTATATAAAAATCATGTAGACTGCAAATTATTTTTATTGCAATATATATATATATATATTGATTATAAAGATATTTATTAAGTATACAGTATATCCAATTAGCCCTAGCCCTCATGTCCAATTAGATATATGGCTAATTGGACATGTGAACAACTACTAAGGTTAATTAGCCAATTAACCATATGTCCAATTGAACATGAGGGCTAGGGCTAATAATTTTTATTAAACTTAAGCTAGCAACAATGCTGGTCAATAGGGCATGCCACTTCATAGGAGGACATTCGTCTGATTGGCTGATGTAAATCAATTGCCCGGGTAACGTTTCACCAATAAAAAATCACTGCAAAAGCCATTTTTCGCTTCGTTAGAACGTCTATGCTCATTGTGCAAAAATAATCAAAATAATCAATAACCCCAAGAACTTCTATTTATTGTAGTATTGGTCATATTAATTGTATGTAAGCTCTAAATGCTGGAAACGGCCATCAAAAAAAAAAAGATTGAGACGTTACGTGTAAGATCTAAAAGAACTTTGTTATACCGTTTACATGCTATTATAATAAAAAGCTTATACTAATGTTCTTATTTTATGTATTCTGAATATTATAGAGTTAAAACATTAGTAACTTCGGGTTAAGTAGTAGGTTGATAATATGTACGGTCTATGAGTATTATTGTTTTATTAATTATAAGAGAGATAGGGGTATTATGGCGAATTGGGTATTGTAGCGAATCGGAATATCTCGTGATCCTATGAGCAGAATCAAATAAAATTTGGACCATTCGATTCCTCTCATAGAGAGGAACCGAATGGTATAAATTTCATTCGATTTAGACCACTACTTCGTGAGATATTTAAGTTAATACACTTTTGCATGTTTATTAACATATAGTCACTTTTGTGGCTCAATTTATGCCATTGGATCGTGGGATATTTGTGTTTAAGCTATTTATATATATAGAATACTATAATAAAAAGAACGTTGTTATCTCGTGACCCCGAGATCATGATCCAATGATTTTATGCCATTAGTTTACTCTCTGAGAGGAATCGAATGGCATAAAAAATCGCGATATTTTTCATAAAACTTCAAGCTCAAGTATCTTTGGATCTGGTAATCAGAATCGAGTGTTTTTGGTGTCAACAAATCAAATAATACCAAAATCATTCGATTTCGATCAATATATCACGTGATACGAGCAAAAATTGTTAACTTCTCCATAATACCCTACTTCCTTATGGGCTAAAGGTCGTATTGTATCTCTAATAAAGGTCATGATAATGAAATAAAATCGAATTACTTTGATTTTTTCAAAAGATAATAAATAAACAAAGATAGTTTCGCTAATAATATATTCACTTAATAAGTTGGGTATTTAATGAGGCCACTCCGAGCGGATATTTTGTTTAACATAACAAAAAATATTTTACAGAGAGTGGGTGTAAAAAAAAATCAACAAAAAAAGACACTGCGATTTTATTGGCTGTAAAAAAAAAAATTTAAAAAACTAATGCTGCAATTTGATTGGTTAATATCATGTTAAATTATTTGTATGTAATTATTGGTTTGTAAGCTTCTTTAGTATTAAAATGATATAAAAATATTATGTAATTTGATTGGTTAATTATCACGGGCAATCACGGGTAGATCGGGAAAATTAACCAATCATATGAATGTCTTACATACCACTTATACGTATTCCGAAATATTCCGGGTGAGTGGTTAATTTTTGTAGATCTACATTGATTTTCCGTGGTAATTAACCAATCAATATATATATTTTTTAAAAAGATTTTATTACTATGTACTAGAAAACGAAGACTTCACATAAAAAAGCTTATAAATTAATAAAAGAATTTATTGTATATAAATTTAAAAAATATATACCCAAAGAATCTACGACATAAGCTAAAGGTTTAATTTACAGCTTACACATCTAAACATACTACAAGAACTATAAGAACTGACCAACTTTAAAAATTAAACCCAGATCTGTTACACTAAAGACTGTACCTATTCAAATCAAACAATTAGTAATAAAAGTTTATTTAAATCTAATGGAATAAATAAACATTCCAGTTACTTTTTTACTCTATTCACACGGTCTAATAAACGGATTAAAGGAAGTACAGTCGTAGTCACCTCGTATATAATCACAACTAGTGCTCGGCAAAATCAACTTTTTTTTGACACTCAAATACATGTGACGATCTGGCTTTTAAATTAATACAGC